CACACACACCTGCCTGTGCCTCTTCTGTCCTCCCTGCCCCACCTGCCCTGCCCTTCCCCCATCAGGGCCTCCGTTGGCCTCAGACCCAGGGTCGACACTCCGCAGACCTGGCCCAAGCACGAAGCAGCACCAAGCAGACCTCACACAGGTGCTCCCCCAACACACACCTGTGAGGATGCTGTGGTCCTGTTCCTCCAGGACTCACTCGAGGCTGCTGTGGAGACCGGCAGCATCGCATGGGAGCTTGTTAGAAACGCAAACTCTCCGGCCACACCCTGGACCTCCTGAGCTAGACTCTGCATTTGACAAGACTCCAGGTGATTCTGGCACGTTGAAGTACGAGAAGCGCTGGCATCGGAGACAGCTCCCGCACCCCGTTTTTTCCTCTCCCCAGAAGCTAGCTTGGGTTGACACAGCTGGGGCCCTCAGGAAGCTCCCACTCTGCCCTCCCCATCATCTTCTCCCCACATGTCCTGACCTCCACCGCCCTGTTGGCCAATGACTCACGTGGGGAAGCTCCCTGGTCCTCAGCCCAGTGCCCGGAGGTCTACCAGCAACTGCTGGCTCATGTACGGAAGCCACATAGCCACACCAAAGGGGCAGGACTAGCCCCGGCTCCTGCCTCTGACTCAGCCAGCCTGCCGTCTGCAAATCTTTATGACAGCAGCTTTCCACCACGTCATGTAGGTCTCAGGTCCCCCCAACAAATGAGTCAGACAAACTCGGAATGAATCGTCGCCACTCCATTCACAGGCTGTGTGACCCTGGGCAAGTTACCCGAGCTTCCATAGCCTCAGCTTCCTTGTCAGTAAAATGGGGACAGTGATCATTGGGACCCCACGAAGCGGTTGAGGGGCTAAAGGCATCCATCCATCCGTCCACAGCTGTGAACAGCACACATTTACAGAGCGCCCGTGTGCGCCAGGCACTCTTGTTGGCACCAGGACTCAGCAGCGAACAAAACAGAGCAGGGCTGCCCTCAGGGAGCTAACTAACGAGGGAACGCGGGCAGACATGGAACAAGGAAGCATGGAATATGCCGGGAGGTCCTCAGTGAATATTTCCTGAGTGGATGAATGAATGAATAAATGAACGCTATGTAAATGCAGCTCCATAAGTCCCTCTGCCCCTTCCAATCATACTGCCTTCTCTATGCACTTCCGTGTAGAAATTCTAAAGCCACACCTCGAACAGAAAAACCTGGGCTTACCAATCCCAGGAATCCAAGAAATCATTAGCAGATTGGGGCTGGGGAGGGAGCTGTTGGCTTTCCAGCAGTTAATGAATAGAGAGGAATTGAAGCAATTATAAAAATATTTCTGACTTAGAACACATTTGCCTGAAATAGGCAATAACTGAGGCAGAATTAGAGTTGTTTTTCAGATAGTTTCACAAATCTGTGTATGTGTGCGTGTCTTGGTCATCTAGTGCTGCTCTAACAGAAATACCACAAGTGGATGGGTTCAACAGAGAAATTTATTCTCTTCACAGTCCAGTAGGCTACAAGTCCAAATTCAGGGCATCAGCTCCAGGAAAAGGCTCTCTCTCTCTCTGTCGGCTCTGGAGGAAGGTCCTTATCATCAGTCTTTCCTTGGTCTGGGAGCATCTCAGCTCAGGAACCTCAGGTCCAAAGGACGTGCTCTGCTCCCGGCACTGCTTTCTTGGTGGTATGAGGTTCCCATGTGTCTCTGCTTGCTTCTCTCTTTTATATCTCAAAAGAGATTGGCTTAAGACACTATCAAATCTTGTCAACCTCATCAGTATAACCTCATCACAGTGATAGAATTTACAACACATAAGGAAATCACATCAGATTACACAATCATACAATACTGGGAATCTTGACCCAGTCAAGTTGACAGATATTTTGGGGGGACACAGCTCAATCCATAACAGTGTGTATGGTCTTGTTGTTGTTGCTAAGTGCTGTTGAGTTGACTCCAATTCACAGCGACCCCATGGGACAGAGCAGAACTGCCCCATAGGGTTTCCTAGGCTGTAATCTTTACGGGAGCAGATCACCAGCTCTTTGTCCCGCAGAGCTGTTGGGTGGATTCGAACCACTGGCATATGCTCTCCTCTCTGGCCATCTGAAATGGTAACATTACTCGCCAAGGAGAAGAATTATCAAGCCGATTGGACCGCACTGATCCTATAGTGCACACTCCAGCTTTTATGAATCAGGAGACAGAAGCCAGGACGTGCCAGGGTCACATAGCTGATCATGGCCATGAAGGCGCTCTCTAGCCCCTCTCCCAGCTGCCCCAAGGCAGCCCCTTTCCTTAGTACACCTCTGCCCCTAAATACCTAATGCCTCATTTCTGCTTGGCTGATCATTTAGGGGCAAGATTTTCTTTTTCAACGGTACTTTAGATGAAGGTTTAGAAAACAAGTAGTTTCTCATTAAACAGTTAGTACACGTATTGTTTTATGACATTGGTTAACAATCCCACGACATAGCAACACTCTCCCTTCTCGATCTTGGGTTCCCTACTACCAGCTTTCCTGTCCCGTCCTGCCTTCTAGTCCTTGCCCCTGGGCTGGTGTGCCCCTTTAGTCTCGTTTTGTTTTATAGGGCTGTCTAATCTTTGGCTGAAGGGTGAACCTCGGGAGTGACTTCATTACTGAGCTGAAAGGGTGTCTGGGGACCATACTCTCGGGGTTTCTCCCGTCTCTGTCAGGCCAGTAAGTCTGGTCTGTTTTTGTGAGTTAGAATTGTGTTCTACATTTTTCTCCAGCTCTGTCTGGGACTCTCTGTTGTGATCGCTGCCAGAGGAGTCAGTGGTGGTAGCCGGGCACCATCTAGTTGTACTGGACTCAGTCTGGTGGAGGCCGTGGTAGTTGTGGTCCATTAGTCCTTTGGCCTTGTGTCTTGCTTTCTTCATTCTCCCTTGCTCCCAAAGGGGTGTATGGGCAAGATTGTTAATAGAATATTCTCTCAGGCCTGCAGGCATGTAGAAAAGGAAGTGATATCCCAGAGCAAACCTTCTGTTTCCATGTCATAGCTAGCTAGCTCTAGGAATCACGGTGGTCCAGTCCCCAAATGCCCCCCTACCCAGAAAGCCCTAATTCCTCCTTTGGATGAGCAGGGACATTCTCTGCCTGTGATCCTCCCTACTGTTCTAACCAACCAACTGCCCTGAGGTCAGTGGTGTGTGGTTGGACTAGGGTGGAGCAGAAGAAGGGATTGTGGACCTCACCTACGGGAAACTTGAAAAATAGGGGGTTAGGGTAGTAGGCAGGCTGCCTGGCTGTAAGACAAGGAGCACAATGGGAAAGGGGGCTGTCCTCAAGTCTAGCCCTCCATTCTCCCTATTTTATGAAAGGGGACACAGACAATTGAAGTGGTTTGTAAGCTTTCTTGAGTCTCTGACCCCTTTGAGAACATGTTAGAAGCTCCAGGGCTGTCACCCAGAAAAATGTATATGCACATATACACACTGCTTTTTGCGTACAATTTATGTACCCCTGAGACCTCCCCAGAGTCCATAGAACCCCAGGCTCCGAACCTTCTGATAGGTGAGAACCACCAGGAGCTCCTAGTTTGGCTGCTCTGTCTAGCACACTGTCCTTCCAGCTGGATAACACCATCCAAGGATCTACACAGTCCCTCACCCCTCTGAGAACCCCACCCTGGAAGAAATCCACATTGGGAGGGAATTGGGGTTTCCCTGGACAGTCCTAGTTTATTCCTATTATACCCCTTTCCCTGTGAAGTTTTCTGGTTTAAATGATGTCTTGTATGGTCACCCTAGAAAGGTAACCATTTCATTACCCCAGCCCACAGGGGTAGCTGTGGGGCCAGGGCAGTCTCCTGTGCTGCAGGCTGCACAAAGGGAACCACTTTAAAGAACAAAAGTTTATTGTCTCAGTTCTGGAGACCAGAAGTCCAGATTAGGGTATCGGCCATGTTGATTCCTTCTGGGAGCTCTGAAGGAGAACCTTTCCATTCATCTTTCTCTTAGCTTTGGCGGCTCCCAGCAGTCCTTGGTGTTCCTTGCCTTACCGCTGCATCTGCCTCTGTCGGTTATTGACATCCAGTCGTTCTTCCTTTGTCTGTCTCTGTTCTCCTCTTTTATAAGACACCACTCAGATGGGATTAGGACCCACCTTACTCCAGTATGACCTCGTGTTAACCTAACTGATAACTTCACAAAGATCCTGTTTCCAAACAAGATCACATTCACAGGTACTGGAGGTCAGGATTTCAACATACCCTTTTTGAGGGGTGTAGGGGGACACAAAAGAGCCCTGGTGGTGCAATTGTTAAACACTCAGTCGCTAACTGGAAGGTTGGTGGTTCAAACCTACCAGTGGATCCACGGGAGAAAAGAGCTGGCGATCTGCTCCCATAAAGACTACAGCCAGGAAACCCTATGAGGCAGTTCTACTCTGTCAAGTAGGGTCACTATGAATCAGAATCGACTCCACAGCATACAATAACAATAAGAGGACATAAGTCAATCCATAACAGGGGCATTGCTGCCTCCCCTGCTGCCATACATCATCCTATTGGAGAGGCCACTAACCTACCAGCCAGGCTCAGCCACCAGTTGATGGCAAAAAGTTTGTCGGCTCTGAGTTCAAGTTTTCCCATTTCTAAATTTACTGTTGTGGTATCTTTCATCTGCTGGCAGCCCCTTTCCACTCTTCCCACTGCTCTCTCTCTGAGTGTTCATACATCTACGCTTCTTTTGTACTGGTTTCTTGGAGTATCCCTCACTATTTTTGTTATTCTTTTTCTCTTGAATTATTCACAAAATGTTTACTTGAAAGTTACTTCTATGAGCCACATTAAGCATTCTCCCCAAAACCGCATCCTACAAACATAATAAACAAACCTCAGTTATAAAAATGACACATGAATGCATTCAAATTGCAGTGGGTAAACTGTAATTTTCATTGACAAAGACATGATTGCCAGAACACACAGATTACTCCAAACTTCATCAAGTCAGAATGGGAGTTACCGTGAATGGACTATTTAGTCTGATGGCTCTAACTGAAAAGTGTTCCCTTCTCTTCTAAAGCCCTCAAAACCAACGAAGCTTGGGGAGGTACTGATCTCCAGTCGTTCTGCTGAGAAACAGTTGGACCAATTGATATGGAGACCAAGGCATCTGAAGAATTGGAAAAGCCCTGGCATAAATCGGTGCATCGTTCATGGGAAACTGATGAGCTGGTCAAGGAGAGACCTGAGCTACCCTTGGAAGAGAAGACCCACCATGCTGATCAGAAGACCCCAGAACCTCACTGCTACATCCCAATTCAGAGAAACTCCATCTTCAACCGTGCCATGAGACATAGAAGCAAAACCAAGACCCGAGACACCCCCAAGACGAACACCCGCCACCGCCAGGCAGGTCAGTACCAGGGACAGCTGCCACAGCTGTACCTTTATGTCCTTTGGAGTCATCAGGGTTGAATATACCACACTAGTTGCTGTTGAGTTGGCTCCAGCTCATGTGTATCAGAGTAGAACCGTGCTCCACAGGGTTTTCAATGGCTGCCTTTTTGGAAGTGGATTGCCAAGCCTATCTTCCAAAGCGCCTCTAGGTAGACTCAAACCATCAAGCTTTTTGTTAGCAGCCAAGAGTATTAACCGTTTTTGCCACCTAGCAGCTCCTTCAGGGCCGAAAGGTCCTAATTAAATGAAAGGAGAATAATAGGTGTTGAAAATTACCAAAAACCAAAACCCAAACCCATTGCCATCAAGTCGATTCCGACTCATAGCGACCCTACAGGATAGAGTAGAACTTACCCATAGGGTTTCCAAGGAGCAACTGGTGGATTGAACTGCCAACCTTTTGGTTAGCAGCTGAGCTCTTAGCCACTGTGCCACCAGGGCTTCTGAAAATTACCAAGGGCTGGTCCAAAAAGGTGGAAAGTTTTGAAGCTGTTATCTAAGGAATTCAAATTCCCCCCAAACGATGATGCGGATGTTTCAGGAGAAAGCTGCATGTGGTCTCTCTCTCATCCTCCAGCGGGCTGACTGGGCCTTACTCACATGGCAGTAGCTGGGCCTCTTGAGGCCTCCACTCAGAACTTGCACAACATCACTTCTACCACATTCTATTGGTCAAAGCAGCTCACAGGGCCAGCTGATATGAAAGGGGGTGGGGACATTGACTCCGCTACTTGATGCGAGCAGCTGTAAAGAATCTGTGGTTGTTAGCTGTCAATCACAAACACTACCAACGTTTTGTTTCAAGTGCGGTGCTAAGCAAGAGAAACACAATGATTGAAATGCTATAGTCATGGAAGCTGAGTGATTGGTACGTTCTATTACTCACTTAACTTTTGTATTTATTTGAAATTGTTCATAAATTAAAAGTTGAACACACATACTCACACATACAAAAAGTTGTACTACCTGACCTTAAGGAATCCACAACATTGCAGTCATGTACTATTACTGCATTAAGGAGCCCTGGTGGCACAACGGTTAGGCGCTCAGCTGCTAACCAAAAGGTTGGTGGTTCAAATGCACCCAGATGCTCCACAGGAGAAAGACCTGGTGATCCGCTCCCGTAAAGATTACAGCCTAGAAAACCATAAGGGGGCAGTTCTGCTCTGTCATATGGGGTTGCTATGAGCCAAAATTGACTCTCTGGCACCTAACAATGACAACCCTGTTAGTGCAAGCAGCTTGTCAAGGTTTACAATAGCAATAAAGACAAAGAACTAGATCCTTCTGGTGGGTTAGGGAAAACCTCCCCGTAAAAGATGATATTTTAGCTGAGTCTTGAAGGAAGGTAAAGACATGGCCAGAGAGAACAGGAGCTAACTTGATTGAGCATCTCTAGGGACTCAGTCACATTTCATGAGTGTCTTTTGTCATCGTTGTTAGGTGCCATCAAGTTGATTCTGAATCATAGCGACCCTATGTACAACAGAACGAAATGGTGCTCAGTCATTAAGGGTCTTCCTCTTTTTCTCCAATGCTCTACTTTACCAAGTATGATGTCCTTCTCCAGGGACTTGTCCAAAGTACTTGAGATGAAGACTTGCCATCCTCACTTCTAAGAAATATTCTGGCTGTACTTCCTCCAAGACAGATTTGTTTGTCCTTCTGGCAGTCCTTGGTATATTCAATATGCATGTCCTTACCATACCCATTTTACAGATTTTTAAAAAAAGCAACTGAGGCTCATAGATATTGAGTCACTTACCCCAAATCACACAGCTGGTGACTGGTGCAGCTTGGACTGGAGTTCAGAACCATTTAGTCCCAATGCTTGTGCAGATGGAGAAGGAGGTTAGAACAAAAGAAATATAACACAAGCCACATATATCGTTTAAAAGTTTCCAGTGGCCACATGAAAAACATAAAAAGAAACATGGACTTTAATAATGTATTTTATTTAGCCCAGTATATCCAAAATATGATCATTTCATCATGTAATTAATAATCAATATAAAATTATTAATGAGATATTCTGCATTCTTTTTTTATTTTTTGTACTAAGTCTTTGAAATCTGTTGAGTATTTTATACTCACAGCCCATCTCAATTTGCATGCTAAATTTTCATTGGCAATCCTTGATCTTTATTTAGATTTCATAAAATGTACAATCAGAAAAGTAGATTTACATATCCAAATTGTTCCAAATAGACTTAAAAGTTTTCCAATAACTGAATCGAGTGTGAGTTTTTAAATTTAAATTTATTAAAGTTAAATAAAATGAAAAATTCCATTCCTCAGGCGTGCCAACCACATTTCAAGTGCTCAGTAGCCACAGGTGCCTCCCATGTTGAACAGCACAGGATTCACCAAACCCATTGCCACTGAGCTGATTCCGACTCGTCGCAACCCTATCGAAGAGTAGAACTGCCCCACAGGGCTTCCTAGGCTGTTATCTTTACAGAAGCAGACTGCCACATCTTTCTCCTGCAGATCAGCTGGTGGGTTCAAACCACCAACCTTTCAGTTAGCAACCAAGCGCTTAACCTCTGTGCCACTAGGGCTCCTTAGCTCAGGGTTGGAGCTTTGTAAACAGAGGGAAAAGCAGGTGCAGCTGCCCACGGCAGAGGGAGGTGTTCCTTCTGGGCACTGAAAAGGTGGCCGTGGGGCTGTGTCAGAGATGTGGCTGCAGAGGGAAATGGCTGACAGGAAAGAGTTTAAGGCCTCCCAGCAGAGCCAAGAATGCTGAAACCTGGGTAGACTAGAAGAGGGGGTCACGTCACTTCCTGCCAACCCCAACGATGTCATTTATGTCCAGACCATAAATATTTCATCAGACTTACAACTTTATTTTTTTTAACGGACTTCATTTTCTAGAGCAATCTTAGGTTTCCAGAAAAATTGTGCAGAAGGTGGAGTTCCCATACTCCCCATACACGATTTCTCCCGTGGTTAACATCTTGCATTCGGGTGGTACGTTTGTTACAATGCTACAGTGTTACAATGGATGAAGCAATACTGACACGTCGTTACTAATGAGGAGTCCCTGGGTGGTGCAAAAGGGTAACACGCTCAGCTGCTAACCAAAACGTTGGAGGTACAAATCCACCCATACTCATTTTACAGATTTAAAAAAAAAAGGACACCTGAGGTGCCTCGGAAGAAAGACCTGGCAATCTACTTCTGAAAAAATCAGCAATTGAAAACCCCCTGGAGCACACAGCTCTACTCTGACACACACGGGGTTGCCGGGAGTCAGAGTCGACTTGACAGCAACTGGTTTTTATTATCAATTAAAGTCCATAGTTCACATGAAACATCACTCTTTGTGCTGTATAGTCTTATGGGTTTTGAGAATGCATAACGTCATGTATCCACCATCACAGTATCGTGCAGAATAGTTTCACTGCCCTAAAAATGCCCTGTGCTCCACCCGTTCATCCCTCCTCCCTTCCCCTTGCCCCCAGCAACCACTTACAATGCTATTTTTAAGGTGACTCCTTACTGGTGTGAACGTACCAAGACTGCCCAATGCGTATTCATCCAAAGTCCAAGGAGAAAATGCTGGGCTCAGCTGTGCCTTGCTGGGTGCAAGAAAGGAGGCGCAGACAACACAGGCCACCTGGTCAGCAGGCTTCCTGAGTCACCCCCTAACAACAAAGAAGGCTCACGCCCTGGGCTCTCAATTTGTCTTTGGGGTCTGGAAGAAGGTGGAAAGCATTCCATGTCACCTGATAAGGATCTGGAAATAAGGCAAAAAATTACCGGGTGCCCTTTCGAAGTCGCACTAGAGATTGGCTAGCATCCCCACCTACAGGGATCTGAGGATCTAGGGGAGGGGAACTTTGACCTTTTTATGACTGATTGGACTTGGACATTGTAAAGTAGGATGTTAAAAGATTGATAAGTTGCAAACGATTTGTCCAGCAGAAAAGATAGCGTCAAGGGCTAGGGTTTTGTTGCCCTCTAGGACATTACCCAGATTTGCTTCTAAGTTTACGATCTTATTTCCAACATGCTCTCTTTCTACTATATATATGTGGGAGCCCTGGTGATGCAGTGGTTGAGAGCTTGGCTGCTAACCAAAAGGTGGGCAGTTTGAATCCACCAGCCACTCCTTGGAAACCCTACGGGGCAGTTCTACTCCATCCTATAGGGTTTCTATGAGTTGGAATTGACTAGATGGCAATGGGTTTGTTGTTTCGTTTTTTTTTTTTTTTTATACATGTGTACGTACAGGGACATGTACACGTATGTGAAATTTCTCATATCGCAATTATAAGTTCCATAGAAAACAGCATCCTAAGTCACCAAATGCAGCACAACACCCCTCCCCCCCCAAAGAAAAACTAATTACTATCTAGTTGACTCTGACTCATGGGGACCCCACGTATGTCAGAGTAGAACTTGTACTCCATAGGGGTTTCAGTGGCTGATTTTTCAGAAGTAGATCGCCAGGCCTCTCTTCTGAGGTGCCTCTGGGTGGACTTAACCCACCAACCTTCAGATTAGCAGCCAAGCTCATCAACCATTTGCATCACCCAGGAACTCCAAATACAGCACAACTCCAAATATAGTCGATTCCAACTCATAGCAACCTTATAGGAGAGAGTAGAACTGCCCCATGGGGTTTCCAAGGAGGGGCTAGTGGATTTGAACTGCCAACCTTTTGGTTAGCAGCCGAGCTCTTAAGCACTGTGCCACCAGGGCCCCAAATATAGCGCAAGGTGAGGCAAATTCTCCTTCAGGGTTTGCGAGGAGGAAACCCCTCCTCACCCCCTCCCTTTTCTTCCCAGGGTGACGGCTATTATCATCTCAGTCCTAGAGACTTGCCTGCAAAGGGGGAGATACAAATTTTCTAGCTCACTGCACTTCCTCAATGTCACAGATTCACTGGAAAATGGAAAATCTGCAAACGAGTCCCTGGCCTTGAAAGTCTCCCAGAGTGGAACGCCTCCCTGGAGGATGCCCACGCAGACAGACCCAGCAGCCCAGAAAACGAGGTAAGAGACATGGATCATGAGGAAGGGCCAGCTCGTGAAAAGATGTAACGGGGACCTGTGCTGCCAAGTCCTGACAGGGCCACAGGGGTGTCTCGAGTTTAAAAAAAAAAAAAAGAGTTAAAAAAACAAAAGTTCTTTTAGTTGTTCGTGTTAAAAAACAAAACAAAACAAAACTCCACAACTTCTTTTTTAAAAGATAACCTGTGCTCTAAAAAATAAAATCTATTAAAACTTAAAAAATAAGTAAATAAATAACTTGGTTCTTAGTTTTCTGCTATAAAGAATTGGAAATTTTAGACGTTACATGTAAGTGAGAAAAAGAAAAGAGAAATCCCTGTGATGCCCCACTTAGAGATGTATTAATACGTCGTCGATGTGTTTGGAATCTATTTTTCTATATGTTTTATGTATATTTTTAACTCTTCATAAAATGAGTTCTTACTATATGTCCTGTCTTGAACTTGCTTGATGGTGTTGTTGTTGTTAGGTGCCATCGAGTCGATGGCAAAGGTAACACCTGGTGACCCCATGTGTTACAGAGTAGAACTTCCCCATGGGATTTCCTAGGCTGTAATCTTTACAGGACCAGATCACCAGACCTTTTCTCCCATGGAGCCACTGGGTGGGTTTGAACTGCCAACGTTTCGGTTAACAGCTGAGCGCTTAACTGTTGCACCACCAGGGCTCCTTACCTTCTTAATGGTAGTTCACAAACACCCCTACAGTAGAATTGCCACATAAAGTTTCCAAGGAGCGGCTGGTGGATTCTAAGTGTCGACCTCCTGGTTAGCAGCTATTGCTCTTAACCACTGTGCCACCAGGGCTCCATATTTATCAGTTTTTTTTTCTTTTATTGTTCGTGCTTTTTGTGTCCTATCTAAGAAACGTTTGCCTACTTCAAGGTCAGGAAAATATATTTCCTTCTAGGAGTTTTATAGTCTCAGCTTTCACATTTAGGTCTATGACCCATATGGATATCCAGTTGTTCTAATACCATTATACTAAAAAGGCTTCTATTTCAGAATTTCTAACTCTCAATGGAATCCAGACTTTCTGGAGCCATTGAGGCTGATGAACCCTTGAAACTATTGCCCTCAGAGAATCTTTCAATTTTAAACCTTAAACCAAAACTATCCCCTGATCTTAATAGTGAAGTATGTCTGCTTTGAGCATTGTGCTCTTTTAAAAAAATTATCTATGTGATGTGAGATCAAATTGACAACGGCAACTCAAAAGGTTGGATGGGAAGCTTGGAGGGGAGTGAGTTTAAGATAATGGTGGTGGAATAATTTGGAAAAGGATAGCAAGAATGGTCTCACAACTTGAAGAATGTAACCAATGTCACTGAATTATACATGGAGAAATTGTTGAAATGGTGTGTCTTTGGCTGTGTATACTTTCACCAAAATAAAATTTAAAAAAAAAAAATGTTTTAAAGGGCCTCTGTTCCCCCACTGAATTGCATTGGTGTTTTTGATGAAAAGCCACTGACTACAGATATGTGCGTCCATTTCTGGACTTTCTCTTCTGTTTCATTGGTCTATTTATCTATCCTATGTCAATACGACACTGTCTTAAATACCGTAGCTTTATGATGAGTCTTGAAATCTGGTAGTATAAGCCCTCCTACTTCGTTCTTTTTTAAGATTGTCTTGACTATTTTAAGTCCTTTGCATTTCCACATAAATTTTAGAATCCGCTTGTCAGTTTCTACAAGAAAAAGGTCTTCTAGGATTTCAGTTGAGATTGCATTGTCACTATAGGTAAGTTTGGGGATACTGACACCTTAAATTGTTCAATCAATGAATATGTTATAGCTCTCCATTTATTTAGATAATCTTTAAATTAGTTCAGCAATATTTCATAGTTTTTAGTATAAAGATCTCACACATATTTTAATTAAATGTGTTCCAAAGTATTTAATAATCATGGTGCTATTTTAAATAGTGTAGCTTTATAATTTCATTTTCCAATTGTTTATTGCTAGTATACCAAAAATTAAACCCATTGCCGTTGAGTCAATTCCGACTCATAGCAACCCCATAGGACAGAGTAGAACTGCCCCATGTGGTTTCCAAGGAGCAGCTGGTGGATTTGAACTGCCAACTTTTTAGTTAACAGGCAAATAATTAACCACTCCGCCACCAGGGCCCCACTGTTAGTATGGTATATAGAAATAATTCATTTTTGCCTGTTGACCTGGTATCCTGTGACCTTGGTAACTTCACTTATTAATTATAATAGTTTGTTTATGTATCCCTTTGGAATTTCTACGTACACTCTCCGCTATCTATGACAAAGGCAGTTTTATTTCTTCCTTTCTAATCTTCACACCTTCTGTTTTCTTTTCTCGCCTTATTGCACTGGCTAGGACTTCCGTTATGATGTTGAGTAGAAGTGGTAAGAGTAGATTTTCTTGTCTTATTTCCTGGTCAAGGCTGCTTTGATTGCAAAGATCAGAAGCCTACTTAAATTTGTCCAAGTAAAAGGGGAGGAGGGGTATTATAAGGATGCTGGAATCCTAAAGAATCCAAGTACAAGAGATGAAGCCCAGCTCCATGGGAACGGACAACCCACCTCTCCTTTTCTCAGGGTCATGGGGCCCACTTCTCTGCTTCTCTCTGTGGACTGCTCTGTTTTCCTGCCTCTCTCCTCACATACTTCCTCTCTGGTTGTCAGCTTGCACATGACCCAAAATGGCATCCATAGCCTGCAGGACTTTTCCCCTTGACTCTCCATAACTAATGGTGACATCCTTTTGTGTAAATCACCAGGCTTTTCTTCCAAGTAGACTCTGGGTGAACTCGAACCTACAACCTTTCAATTAGGATCCAAGTGCATTAACCATTTGCAAGACCCGGGGTGTCCTCTTTGAAGATGTTGTTGTTAGTCGGTTATGACTCATAGCAACCCTATGTACAACAGAAGAAAGACTGCCCGGTCCTGTGCCATCCTTATGATTGTTGTTATGCTTGAGCCCATTGTTGCAGCCACTGTCAATCCATCCTGTTCAGGGTCTTCCACTTTTTCACGTACCCTCTACTCTACCAAGCATGATGTCCTTCTCCAGAGACTGGTCCCTCCGGTTAACACGTCCAAAGTAGGTGAGATGAAGTCTCTCCATCCTTGTTTCTAAGGAGCATTCTGGCTATACTTTTTCCAAGACAGATTTGTTCATTCTTCTGGCAGTCCATGGTATATTCAATACTCTTCTCCAACACCATAATTCAAAGGCATCAGTTCTTCTTTGATCTTCCTTATTCATTGTCCAGCTTTCACATGCATATGAGGAGATTGAAAACACCATGGCTTGGGTCAGGCACACCTTAGTCCTTAAAGTGACATCTTTTCTTTTTAACTTTTTAAGACTTAATTTTTTAATACCTTTGAAGATATTATCGGTTAAGTCATACTGAGCAAGGTGGGTTCTAGTTTTCTAACCCTTTCTGAGTAGTGTCTTATCAAAGGGGAGAACACACACCGAGAGAGGGTCACACACAGGACGAAGACAGCCTATGAGGATGTATCTACAAACTAAGGACCACCAAAGCTTGCCACAGCCATCAGAAACTAGGAGAGAGGCCTGGAAGAGCCACTCAAAGCCCTCAGAAGGAACTGCTACAGCTGAGGCCTTGATTTGGACTTTCAGCCTCCAGGACCGTGAAAAAATAATAACTCCTGTTCCTCGAAGCACCCACTCTGTGCTATTTTATTATGGCTTCCCTAGGAGACTCAGACACTGGATGAAGACTCCCTGTAGCCATGGCAGGAAGGAGGGTCTCTACCTCTGAGGGGTTGCCTCCTGGCTGCCTTGTGGAGATAACCCATTTTCCACCTTCTTCAGTAAGACAGGAGACCAAGTGCCCTTAGCAATAAAAATGCAAATGGAGAATCACGAAGTAACGTCCTCTTTGGGGTCCCTCCATTTGGGCACTAGCTGAGGCACCAGCACTGACCCCCAGTCCTGGGGGCCATCAGCAAAGGACAGTCGAAGGCACTGGGGCCACTCGGACGTGGTGACTGAAGACAGGCTTACATTTCTGTCTCTGAAATTTCTTTCTATTTTTACACTGTCTCAGAACAAATGTAACTGTGACTTCTGCTTCACACTTTCTGCAGCTAATTTCATATACTTTTGACAGTGATACAATATTTTCAGCAGTTAGAAGCTTCTCTTCTTTGAGAATTGAAGGGGCATATTCCCCCGCCTCCCCACAATACGTTGCTGGCATGCTCTGTGGGGCAGGTGGCCATTTCAGGCGTGGCACCTGAGATAGGTGTACCCCTTCAGCTCTCCCTCTCCTGGCCCAGGTACGGCCCCACAGGTCAGACCTCAGAGGCCCAGGGCACTCGCAAGGAATTCGGATCTCAATGGGTCAAGTGGGCAGAGGGCCTCTTGGACCTGTTGACTCCTTTGACATTTAAGATAAGAAAGATAAAAAAGGCTTTGATGGACTGACTTGGAAACATTTACTTCTTTAGCGTTCTAAACTGTTGACGTCTTGTCTCCTGTTAAATTGTTCGTTTATTTTGCCTTGTTTTGGTTATTCTCGCTGATTTTATCTTTTATTCTTTTCTAGTTTAACCTTTCACACATTGCCCTTTTTCTTTCCTTATTATTTCCTCTGTGTTTTAATCACCTTTTCAATGCTTTCCTACTGTGTTTTAGCTTTATGAGCATTGCCCCTGTTAAAATTCAGAGCTTCTGGCTTTATGTAAATGTTAATCTTCTGTTTTTCTTCATTTTATCTTAAAAAAAAGAAAGGTGTTGTGGAGTCCATTCCAACTCATGATGACCCCTTGTGTGTCAGAGTGGAACTGTGCTCCATAGGGTTTTCAATGGCTGATTTTTTGGAAGTCGGTTGTCAAGCCTTTCTTCTGAGACACCTCTGGGTGGACTTGAACCTCCAATCTTTCTAAGCACATTAACCTTTTTGCACCACCTGGGACTCATGTTTTTACCTTACTGTTTGAATTTGTTACTGTTTAAACCCTGGTGG